ATCCACCAATTATAGCATCACATCCACTCACGAATTCCTCTAAATTTGAAAAATTACAAAACCAAGCGTCACTTGACATTGAAAACTTATTTACAAACGTCCCCGTCGATCAAACCACTAACATTATCCTCAATTTTGTGTATACTAATATCCCTATCCCTCCGCCACCCATCAAACCATTTATACTCAAAAAGTACTGCATACATGCACAACTAGTCTCATCCTATGACCATAGTTTCAACATTTACACCCAAGCTAATGGTTTTAGTATGGGAAATCCCCTCGGCCCATGCTTTTCAAATTATTATGTCCCATGTAGAAAATACGATATTTAAAGAGGTCTGTAAACCTAAAATATATGTCCGCTATATAGACGATCTTTTTTATTTTAGTAAATAACACTAAAGAAATACATTCCCTTAAGTCCACATTTGAGAAAAATTCTGTCCCTAAATTTACCTACGAACTTAGTCAAAAAACAAACTCCCATTCTTAGATGTTCTCGTAGTATATACTAATAACACTTTTATCACCTCATTATATAAAACACCCACTAGCAGAAACTATTGCCACCTTAACTTTAAGAGTAAATGCCCACTCAAATACAAAATAGAAATAATAAAAAAATCCTAAAAAGAGCACATCAGAATTCATCATCATGACTACTCTTCCTTAAAGAACTCAATAATGTAAAAAGGCACTAATTAACAATGTCTTCTCCAACTACTTTATAGACCACCAAATTAGACTATTTCTCTTCAAAGTAAATAAGAATGATGATGAACATACAGTCAAAAATTACATAAGTATTTTCTATTATTACATACATTACACCAATCGACCGAAATAAAAAAAATCAAATTAATTATCTACTATAAAAACTTAAGGCAGCTAAGCTTATCCTCAAAAACAACAACACACCAGCCAAGTCAAAATTACAACGAACGAACGAACATTATCTATGACTTCAAATGTCCTTTAAGGAACTATGTTCCTGATCAAACCGAACTCATAAATAATTACATGGGTCACACAACTACATGCCTATCTAGATGCCTTGCCTTACACCTATCTGACCAGAGCTCCATTAGAACCCATTTAAACACACACAAACCTATCAGACTCCATTCGAAACTTACTCGTAGAAAACACAATGTCCTCATCCACCTGTAAAAATGTATAAAAATAATGGAAGCCCTATTAATAAAAAAGAAAAAGCCATCTCTTAACAATATTAACTACGAACAAGGCCACAATGTTCTAACCGTGTTCGGAAAATAGAAACACTTCTATAACACACTGAAAGTATACACATAACGCATTAATTAAGCTGAAAAAATAAAATCATATTTGATAATGGCTAAAGGTATAGCCGGAACTACAAAACCTTTAGACAGTTTCTACACACTGTGTCCCAAAAAAATGCTTTTGTGCGAACACAAGAAAAATTAAATAAAAATGCTTAACCGTCGTACCCTGTCTGTCGCTTTTTAATGAAACATGCATATATATATATATATATATATATATATATGTGTGTGTGTGTAATTTGTTTTAGGATATCGCATCAAAAATATATAAAAAAGCGCTACACAATTCCAGTCATGTTTCGATGCGTATTAACACATCGCATACGCATCGAAACATGATTGCATTTATGTAGCGTTTTTTTTTTTTTGTTTGCTTTCTTTTACATGTTTTGGATATAATATCCTAAAATAAAGAATACTGCTTTATTTTTGTATTGATCCCTCCTTTAAATTGAATGCTACGAACGTCGGAATTGGCCTCTATTATATATATATATATATATATATTGGGGTCGATAGGATATCACTTTATACATTGAACCATTTCACACACGACTAAAACATGTTAATGTTCTCTCTTATAACCAATGCGAAAGGGTCTGTAATCATCGTGGGAAACATAATCTTCATCAGCCGCCAATTCAAGCCATTTTTTTACTTTGATTTAAGATTTTCCTCTCTCCGTTTTGTTTTGTTTTTTTTTCTTCATCGTCAACACGTGTTTTATTTATTTACTTAATGAGTCATTCGTCTATATCCGACACTTGCACGTACCACTTATGACTTTTCATCTATAAATTTCCCATTCAGCAAACACGATCAGAAACTATTAAAAGAAATATCAGAAAACATTTCGAACATTGAAATACGAAAGCCCCAAAAGACATTACTAGTCGTTCGTCACGTTGTTGCTATTGCTTTTTAGCATTGTTATATTTCATCAGACAGAATTCTTATTCCCGGAAGGGGTTTTGTGGAAAGATTTTGTTCGGTTCCTTTGAGATGTCAAGTTGGATAACCAAGACATTTTCCCAGACACATTCGTTTTAAGCACTGGCCTTTACCCACAACATTTTCTCTTCATTCACCAATTAAATTTGAAGGATAAATGCATAAGACATTCAAGACAAGGCTTTAGAATTCTTCTATGTGTCATGTCTCTACAAAACGTAGGCAATCATTACCCTCCACAATTTCCTGTCTTTTGTAGCTCTGTCTTTTATTCCTTGATCTGCCAACCGCTTACACAAGCTCGTCAGGTTATTTTATTCACTATTTTTCCTTCTTCGTCTATTTATGTCCTTTGAGTGTCAAATTTTCCAAGCACTCTTTCCTCATTATGTGCCCTCAAATTTTCATGTCTTTTTTTCTGATGCTAACTACGAGTGTCTTTTGTGTTTACATTTTTTCTAATAATCTGTTGTTGCCCCCATTCTCAGCATCCTTCTGTAGAACCATACTTCTACTGCCTCAAGTCTTTTAATGCTGCTATATTTCACGAAAGGTCGGACACAGATGAACAGCTAATATTCTTTCAGTTTTTAAGTTTGCAAGATGTCAACAATGCACACTTTCTGATTGACGTTTTCTGAATGGGAAATTTATAAAGTCATACGGGCAATTTGTTGTTATACGTGCAAGTGTCGGATGTTTACGAATGACACAATTAATAAATGAAATACGTGTTGACGATGAAGAAATAAAAAACAAAACGGAGAAAGGAAAAGTCAAAGTAAAAACATGGCTTGAATTGGCGGCTGATGAAGATTATGTTTCCCACGATGTTTACAGACCCTTTCGCATTGGTTATAAGAGAGAAATTAACATTTTCAGGCGTCGGTGAGACGGTTCAATTTATAAACTGATATCTTACCCACCACAATATATATATATATATATATATATATATATATATATATATTTTCATAGTTGCATATTTAGGCAGCAATCCTTCTTTTATGGATGTTTCATTAAAAACGACAGACAAGGTGCTACGGTTAAGCATTTTATTTAATTTTTCTTGTGTTCTAACAAGAGCTTTCTTTTCTGGACAAAGGGTGTGTAAGAACTGTCCAAATGTTTTATATTTCCGAGCGCTTTTGGCTATACCATTAGCCATTATCAAGGATGATTCGATTTTTTCAGCTTAATTGAGTGTGTGCGTTATGTGTATCCCTTAGTGTATAGTAGGGATGTTTTAATTTCCGAATACGGTTAGCATATTGTCGCTTTGTTCGTAGTTAATATTGTTAAGGAATGGCTTTTATTATTATTATTATTATTAAAGCTGCCATTATTTTTAGTCTTTTTTTGCAGGTGGATGCAGTTAATAAATTTGTTTTATACTAGTATCTTTCTAATGGAGTCTGGTAAATTTGTGTGTGTGTGTGTTTAAATGGGTTCTAATGGATCTGTCTGATCACACATTCAATTAAGCTGAAAAATCGAGTCATCCTTGATAATGGCTAAAAGTATAGCCGAAAGCGCTCGGAAATATAAAACATTTGGACAGTTCTTACACACCATTTGTCCAGAAAAGAAAGCTCTTGTTCGAACACAAGAAAAATTAAATAAAAATCTTAACCGTAGTACCTTGTCTGTCGTTTTTAATGAAACATGCATATATATATATATATATATATATATGTGTGTGTGTGTGTGTCCGCGTAAAATGGGAACGAAGAGAGTGCAATTCCGACTTTCGAAACATTCAATTTAAAGGAGGGATCAATAAAAAAGTAGAGAAATATTCTTTATTTTAGGATATTACACCAAAAACATGTAAAAAAAAAAAACACTACACAAATGTAATCATGTTTCGATGCGTATGATATGTTTTAATACGAATCGAAACATGACTAGATTTGCGTAGCGTTTTTGACGCGATATCCTAAAACTAATTACACGCACACACGCACACACACACACGCAACACACACGCAACATACACGCAACACACACACATCCTTTCTGGACAAAATGCTACCTATAGCCGAGTGTTAGAGACTCTAAGCCTTCTTTTATCATTTTTAGTCCATGGCCGTTTTTGCATTCGTCAAAATAACATCTTTGCCGCTTCATGTCTCTTCTTCATCAGTGAAGAGACTGCCGCGCATTTAATGCCATGGGAGTAATAATTAGATATTACGTAACGTTTCGACTCGCTTGTCTTTGTTACTAATATAATTTTAATTACCTATTAATACTTTCCTTAGTTTCTGTAAGACGACTGTCGTTTTTCCTCTGCTGATTCGGATTTCTCCGTTTCATTTTTCTTCATCCGTTCGCGTAATTAATCTTTTTTTTTTTTTTTACACTATTCTTGTTCGTTATTTTGTTTTTAGGCATAATTCTTTCTTTAATTTTGTCTCTATTTTTTCTTGTCCTTTTTCAGTGTTATATTTGATTATGTCTAAAATCATCGTTTATTAAAATTCAAGAAAGTCTCATAATAAAACCATATTTATTTTCTGATCAACAAACTGCCGAGATTTTTAATTGCTGGTCCACCAAAAGAATTCACAAAATCCAATTTAATTTTAATCAAGCGGAGGAATTTTTCCAAGCAATTGAATTGTTGTTATTGTTTCTTTGTTGTTCTCTTCTTCATAATTATTTCCCACAACTTAGCCAATCAACTGATATAAATGTTATTGGAAGAGTCGCTGTCTTTTCAGTAAATTCAAAAAGGGCATTTCCAAAATACTCTTCTTCTTATTCTTAAACTTATTCTCCTTCTTATTCTTCTTTTTATTCTTATTCTTATTCTTCATTTTATTCTTATTCTTATTCTTCTTTTTATTCTTATTCTTATTCTTCTTTTTATTCTTATTCTTATTCTTCTTTTTATTCTTATTCTTATTCTTCTTTTTATTCTTATTCTTATTCTTCTTTTTATTCTTATTCTTATTCTTCTTTTTATTCTTATTCTTATTCTTCTTTTATTCTTATTCTTATTCTTCTTTTATTCTTATTCTTCTTTTTATTCTTATTCTTATTCTTATTCTTCTTTTTATTCTTATTCTTCTTTTTATTCTTATTCTTCTTTTTATTCTTATTCTTCTTTTTATTCTTATTCTTCTTTTTATTCTTATTCTTATTCTTATTCTTATTCTTATTCTCATTCTTATTCTTATTATTAGTATTATTATTTTCTTTGATTTCTGGCGTTTACACATTTCTTTCCGGGTCCCGCTTAGAGACCTAAGGTTAGAAATGGCATCATGACACTTTCCACTGGCAAAAAAAAAAAAAATACATAGATAACGCCCTTCGTAAAGTGTGGGCTGTACTTGCCAGAACAATTTTTTGTATCTCCTTGAGGCATGGACTTCCAGGAATCCCTTCAATTAGTCTACTGCAATCTTTTCCAACCAGTCCTAGGGCTCCAACTACAACAGGGATTGTTGATGTTCCCATATGCCACATTTTCGAGATTTCTATTTCAAGGTCCTTGTATTTTGACATCTTTTGGAATATCTTCAAAGATACATTGCAGTCAGCAGGGACTGCCATATCAATAAGTAGGCACTTTTTTTTGTTTGTGGTCTTTAATAATAATGTCTGGGCGGTTGGCTTTGATTCTTCTTCTTATTATTATTATTTCTTCATCTAATTCATACTGTTCTTTTTGTTTTTCTTATTATTTATTTCTTATTATTATTTTATTATTACTGTTGTTGTTGTTATTATTATTATAATATTTAGGTCGCCGATAATTATTGCTCCCCCTGATCTTCTTCTTTGTAGCCCTTAGTAAATTTTTGGTTTTTCACCATCACTTCGAGTTCTTGCTCTGTCATTTACACATATTGTTAGGTAAGCTCCTGGCTGTTTCCATTTTGCCCTCCATATATCGTGTGAGTGTCAAATTCACCAAACCATCATTCCTCATTATGGATCTTAGAAATTTGAACTTGTTTTCGATTTTAATTTAATCATCCAATTTCTATCGATTTTCTAAGAGAAAATACTCCTCGTTACGCACATTTTCACTTCAAGTTTTTCTCTACATACTTCTATAGAATCATATTCATGTCGCCTCAAGTCTCTTTGTCATCTGTCAAGAGATTGTCCAGCACGTACTGCCATGCGTAAAAATTCAGCACTCTTTACTTTGTTTCTAATGAAATTTTCCGTCTTTGTAATCCATTGCTAGGTTTCTGGAAATCATGGTTTTGATATTTCTACACCTTCTTCGGATTTCGGTGTCACATCTTCTTTTTCCGTTAAACACTTCAAGATATGTAATTTTTAGTACATTTTTGAATTTGGTACCTTCATAAAAATCTTCATGCACTTCGTCATAATTCAATTTATCCATTCTGGCATTAAAGTCAGGGGGATTTACTGGCTGCTCGTTTAATCCATATTTTCCGAAATGGTCAAACGTTTTGAAGTTGTGAAAGGTACATGAGATTTGTTTCATCATAGATTTGAGCTATAAACATCCCAAAACAGGCACAATTATGTGTTTTAGTACACAGCTCGATTAATGGGCACAACTCTGTTCTGGCTATGATGGCAAACTATATCCAGTACCAAAGCCTCTGGTTGAGGGGGTTGTATAACCACCTCTTAATTGTTGTTCTCAGGTTCACCCTGACCTGGAGTGGTAGCACCTGTTAGGGTCCCAATTATGGACAAATATTTAATCCCCAAACTGGGGTCAAAATACTATAAAAATTTAAGAATTTGTATACTAAATATACCAGCAATACATTTTCACAGTAAGAAAATTAGCAGCAATACATTACTAATTCACCCAAGAGAATTAAATTTCGGCATTAGACGCATAAGGAGTTGATATGCCACTACACCAAGAAGGTCGGCACAATCAGATTCGGTGACTTTCTGGAAAATTCTTGAAGCACTATTCTGCTTATTGCCAGAATCTATAAGCAAAATTTCCTCCCATTGCGAAACATTCCAGTTTTATTAGAACACAACATTGTTATGAAAAAAAATCTGACGATCTCAGGCATGAAACCGTCAGTTGCCATGCAGTGTTGATTCCTATTTGAAAACCCTTTTTTGAAGGGTGAAAAATGGATTCTCTGCAAATTCTGATGTTTGTTATTCGGTCAGATTTCCCCATAACATTTGACGAAGATTACTACAAATTAATTTAAAGTTAAATATGTATTTTTTTATGTCAATTGTTGCCTTTTTAGTAAAGTAATTTTAGAACTGCTCAAAATGATGTTTCAGACCAATAAATTAAAAAAAAGGTTTAAATACATTTACAAATCGATGCAGCATATTATAGTACGTTTACCTTAGCCAGCGGGGAAAAAAGTAGCTTTTTGACAGCTGTTACTCATTGAAAAACTGTTGGAATATTCCGACTTTAAATCTAAAATAGTTTGAGGTGGCTATAAAAGAATAAACTTTGTATGCTAAATAAAACAAATAATTCCATATTCGTTCTTATTCAACGAATGTTTCTTAATTTTAAAATACGTCAGCCTTTTTATGTGAGATATATTACGGTGTTCATTCCAGAAGATTTGAGACTTTTTCAAGAAAAAAAAGTTATTAACTACAAAGAAGTACAAAACTCTGATCTCCTTCAAAACAGGATCCTCTGACTTCAATGAACTTGTAGCGCTCCAGCCACTTCGTAAACGCCCCGTAGGAGTCATCCAAAGTGAAGGTATCGAAGGCCCTTGTCACAGCCGCTTTCATCTCCTCAACGTCTTCAAAACGACTTCTCGTTAATGTTCCTTAAATTTAAAATGGGTCAGCCTTTTTATGTGAGATACATTACAGGGTTCATTCCAGAAGTTTTGAGACTTTTTCAAGAAAAAAAAAAGAAATTAATAATTGAAAAGAAGTACAAAACTCTGATCTCCTTCAAAGCCGGATCCTCTGACTTCAATGAACTTGCAGCCACTTCGTGAACGCTCCGTAGGAGTCATCCAAAGGCCCTTATTACAGCCTCCGTCATCTTTTTAATGACTTCAAAACGACTGCCCCTGAAGTTCTTCTTCAGCTTGGTTAACAATCAAAAGGCAACGGGGAGAAAGGTCTGGATTGTAGAGAAGGTGAGAGAGAGTTTAGATGCCTATCTCTGTCAACACAAAACTTTCTTTCATATCAAGATTCCAAATTGTCTTCACATACCGACTCTCATTTTGCAAATTTGTCAGCTGTGACAACAAGTGTCTCACTTGGGTGTGTTTAATGAACTGTTACATCGGATTAAAAATAAATCCATTAATTCTATATAAATATACGAGGTGCATGTCAGAAGTTTAGAAACCTTTTCAGGAAAGACATTTATTAATTACCAAGATCTACAAAACTCTGATCTCCTTCAAAACAGGATCCTCTGACTTCAATGAACTTGTAGCGCTACAGTCACTTCGTGAACGCCCCGTAGGAGTCATTCAAAGTGTAGGTGTCCAGGACGCTTGTCACAGCCGCCTTCATCTCTTCAATGTCTTCAAAACGACTTCTCCTGAGGATCTCCTTCAGCTTGGGAAAAACAAAAGGTAACAGGTAGAAAGGTCTGGACTGTAGGGTGGGTGAGCTATAGTTTAGATTCTCCTCCCAACTCACACGAAATCTTTTTGTATATAAAGCTTCCAAACTTTCTTCGCCTCCCAACTACATTCCCCAAACTAGTGACTAGCAGTATTTAGTAGGGTGTGTTCAAAGAGATATAACAGCCGCCTGCTTCAATCTTCATTTGGCATGTCAGATTGCTAGATGTGTATTAATCTATTTAATTTTAAAAGTCTGCGATTGCGTGAATACTTATGTGGTTCGTGCCTCCACGCATAATGATTTAAGTTATTCTGATGTTAAAAAATATTTTAAGTAAATAAGATTTAAAAATACGAGTTGTTTATAAAGTAAGTATTTTTATTTTAACTTTCTTAAATTAAAATACTTTTAAATTAAAGACAGACACAAAGATATCACGCTTTGCTGATTCGTCCAGTTGTTTGTCGTGTAATTATTTTATTTCAGCTTTGTTTAAACAATGTTTTAAATAATTAAAAAAATACTTTATGGAATATTTACAAAAATATATTCAAATGAATAAGATTTAAAGATATCAGTCGTTTATAAATTGATATAACAATTTCTTTTGCATTTTGTAGAAGTATTCACATATGCCATAAGTGCTGTTACTGAGGTTCAATTTTTATTAAATACTGTAAACAATCAATAAAACGTAAACCAGAGCAATGATGACACGAACAAATTGAATTATTTAACTGAACCATAATAAAATTAACTATCATTTCAATGGAATGGTGAAATCAACTTCCGTATATTGTAAACTGAACCGTTAGTGACCCAACGTGTCACAGGTAGTCTAGCAATATCTCAAAATGACTTAGAACAGTGATAACAGTTTCTTTGAACAAAATTTCAAGATTTCTGAAGTGTGTATTGTATGTTAAATAAATATATATATATATATATATATTGTCTCTACTTATATATGAAAAGCGTAAATTATAATTTAGACACAATAAGAAACTAAGAACAATAATTAAATAATAAAATAGAACAAATAACAACATACTTAAAATTTAAGTCAAACTATATATTCTGATCGTAGGCGATTACGAACATATCACGTTGAAACTCCGGTTCCCGTATAATCGCCGAAGTTAAGCAACGCCAAACCTAGTCAGTACCTAGATGGGTGACCAAGTGCAGTAAGCTTGGATGTGCGGTTGGTGTAATGGATAACGTCTCAGAAATGGAAATGGGAGTTCTAATGCTAGTCAGCTTCGTCATATTCACTTGTGCGCAAATAACCACCTCTTCTCTCTCCCATTACTATGGGTTAATTAGTAGGTCTTGTATCAGTAAATCGTTACTATCTAAAAAAAACAAAAAACATGCAATCTAAAAAGAAATATTTTCTGGTTTTAAATAATCCGTAAAAAAATCCAAATCATCAATCAACCAAATGTGATCGTAGGTTTTATTAACTACAGCATACGATTCTTTCTTTTCTGATTCATTCAAGAAATTGCACAATTGGTAAAAAACTTTAGAGATTCTCTTTAGACATCTTAGAATTTCCAGAAACATTATTTTTGCATTCTAGGACAAATATACTGATTAATATTTACGTATTGTTTTCTTTCTTAAGCGCTGGTTAATGAAACTACAA